AGTATTGCTAAGAAAGTAACAAATGTAAAATTAATCGTAATCAAAAGTAATATTTTCAAAAGTAACGTTACTTTTGCAGCCGTCGATCAATTTTCAATTGACAAATCTCAGCCCCGATCAACTCGGACGCGGTGTCCGAGTTCCTGCTTCGTCGACAAGCCATCACACGATTCGTACGTGATGCCCTACGGAAAGCGGTCGACAAGCAGAAGGAGTACGCTGACAAATGTCGGAAGAACACATCGCGCTTCCAACGAGGCGATCGAGTCTTGCTGTCCAAGGATGGCATTCAATCAGCTGCTGTGACGAACTTGTGTGCTAATAAGTTAGCCCCTCGCTATAACGGACCATTTAAAGTGACGCAAGTGATTGGAGATGCTTACACGCTGGATATACCTAAGGCAATGCGCTTGCACCCGACGTTCTACGTCGCGCGTCTTAAGCGTACTACCCCGCTACGATGCAGTCCGACGCTCACCCTCGCCAGGTGCTGGCGAGTAATCCAAGCTCCCAGCATGACGACGCTGACGCCGAGAAGGCAAGAGGCCTCCCTCCTCGCGAGATGGCTCCGCTGCCCGAGGCCCGCCGCAGACCAGTGTCTCCAAATGGCGCAGGCGACTCATCATCGCCCGACGCCCCTGTTCCGACTGTGAGGCGAGCCTCTCAGCCGCGTATGCGCGCCGATCAGCAGCTTCCGCAAGCTGTTGAGCCTGCAGTGCGTCGTCTCTCGTCTGATCGGCCTCCTGACGCATCAGGCGATACTGGTCGATCGTCAAACGCTCCGCTGCGCGCTCTCATCGGCTCCACGAGAATAAGCCAAATCACGAAGCCCGCTATCGACGAGACCCGCCGCTGCACTAGTTGATGCGGCGGGAAACGAACGCTGGATCGTGGAGAGACTTGTCGACCACGATGTGCGTCGTGGTCGTGCCCGTCGTAGCGAAAATATTATCATGTCCGCTGGCTTGGCCACTCTCCCACTGATGACACGTGGGAGCCACGTAGTCACCTGCTTGAAGATGTTCCCGACGTGGTGAACGACTACGAGGCCTCGCTCGTGGCGGCGAGCGTGACTGCTGTCGCTGTGAACGACTACGACCCCGAGAGCGACTTTGGCTGCGCGGACGCCAACGTCGACGCGATCCCCTGCGGTGAAGTGTGTTGCGTATCTCCGCCTGCTCCAGCGGCGACCGCGATCGGTCGTAGCGACCGATTGCCTGCCGCTCTATCTCGCTCAGTGACCAGAGCTCCAGTTGAAGCTCCCATTCAGTGCGAGTCGGTCGATCCCGAGTCTCAGAGCAGTTCGCACAGCCTTCCACAAGGTGCACGTAGCAGATTCGCTACTCGTGCTGTGCCAGCTGACACACGCGCTCCCTCAACTCGCCAATAGTGTGGTTGCTCCTATTGCCCTCGTGGTCTTCGAGCCAGGACGTGAAGGACAAACCTTCGCGTCACGCGGCGTTCCAGCGTCGGATGAAAGAGCACCACGAGCGCTGTAGGGCATCGTGTGTGTACGCGAAGTTGGTCGCCTTCCCACGGATCGCGTGGTAGCGAGTGAAGAAGCCCTTCATCGCGTCCAGCGTCTCTGGTTTCTCGGCGCCGCCCAAGCTGTAGAGCTCCCAAGGCTTGAGGTCCCCCTCCATCACGAAGTACGCTGGAGGGTCCGTCGAGTTTGCACTGGAGTTTGTGGTCTGCGTCGTCGCTTGTGTTGTCGTCGCGCGACTGGTTCCTGTCGCACGCGTCGGAGCGCTTCACGCCGTTGTCAAGATTATTCTGCGTTTGCACTAACGAGACTGTTAGTGCTACTTCGAGAGGGGGGTGATGGTCGCGCGACTGGTTCCTGTCACGCGCGTCGGAGTGCTT